ATTTATGGAAATGGATTAATTTAAGCTATAAGAACCGTTAGCAAGAAGCCTGCCATGGCCATACAGTTTGTAAGCAATATAAGTCTCTGTGTTTACTGGTTGGGTCTGAGTGGCTGTGGGACTGGCGGGTGACAAAGATTTGTCTTGACTGTGGGCAAGGCAGGAAAACTCTAGCTACAGTGTTACTATGTCTAAAATACCTGATTGCTCTAATAAAGAACTGATCAGCCAATAACAAGGCAGGAGAAAGATTAGGAAGAGCTGGTAGGCAGAGAGAATTAATTGAAGGAGAAAATGAGGGGTTGGGAAATCAGAGAGATCTAGGAGAGAGAGAGAGAAGGAAGATGATCCAGGATCCAGCTACCCAGCTACATAGCAAGACATGGAGTAAGAAGTAAAGAAAGGTATATAGGATAAGATAACAGCCCAGAGGCAAAAGTTAGATGGGATAATTTAAGAAAAGCTTGTAAGAAACAAGCCAAGTTAAGGCCAGGCATTCATAAGAAAGAATAAGCCTCTGTGTGTTTATTTGGGAGATGGGTGGCTGGCCCCCAAAGAGCCCAAAGATTAAAGAGTAAGGAAAAAAAAACCCAACAACACAGATGGAGTGTTTTATGTCTTCCAGTTGGGGCAAGCAATTCCTCTTCTATCAGGATCAAAAGCTTGGAAACACATAACCCTCCCAAAATGACTTTCCCTCAAATTGTCTTTCTGATTTCTTTTCTCTACCATCAGTGAATAATTCTTCTTCCTCCTCTTTTTTTTTCTTTGTAGTCACTGGTAACTTGGGGCTGGTATATAAGTGGTTCTAAATTCTCTTCACAATAGTCTAACTCCCTGCATCAGGATGTGTGGTAATAATTGCCACTTTATCATTTTTTTGGGTTCATCTAAAACAAAGCTAGAAAATCTCATTTTAATGCCCTGTTATAAAGGGGAAGGTATTAAATACTGCCAAGGTATGCAGGACATAGCAGTGTCATCCTGGATTATTATCTAATTTCTACACACATCTTCTTCATCATCCTAAAATAATGTTATAACACAATTCCTTTCTTCCTTTGTGTCCCTAGTTTAATAGTGCTCAAATGACCTCCTCATTCAACTGATTATTATTTTTATGGTTAACGAAGGTTTTACTTCTTACATCAACTCTGAAAGTAGATACTGTTACCACTACTTAGAGACCAAAGGATGAAGTTGAGGGAGGTTGACCCTAAGTTAAAGGCACACAGCTCATAGTGGGGTCTTATAGGATGTGAAGTCAGATTCCAGAGATCATTCTGGTAATGTCTGTATATGGTGTGTAGATACAGTATAGTGTGGATATTAGACTAGTGAAAATAAGCTACAGTAGTCTTTTGAAATGAAGAAATCAGCCATTGGAGGTCTGCATTCTATTGTGTGTGGTTGGGAGAGAAGGGGTAGAACCCACTGGCCAATAGTGCTGAGAAATGCCAATAAGCTAAGCCAGTTAAAACCAAACAGAGGAAAAAATCCACAAGACAGAATATTGTAACATGACAAATTAGAACAAATAATTTAAGAGATTGGCTCCTTGACAGTAATTAGTGATTTCAAATTAAGAATTAATACCCATAAAATTGAGAATGATCTCAGAATATGTTCTAGAGAACTAGAGGAATAAAGATTTAGATAATGGGCAGGAATGTATGTCCTCAAAAATATCTTTGCTCTTCCTCTCTTTCCAAGGCACATAGCTGAATTACATTCCCTACATCTGTTGGGTTTAGTTGGGGCCATTGACTGAGTTCTGTGCATCGACTATGAATATAAACTATATAACCCACATTCAGCCTGACCCAGTATGGAATTCCTGTGCTTGACTCTCTTTTCTTCTCTCTGTTTTCAGCCGATTCTGAAGTCTATGTAGAAGTAGGGACATTTGATGTTTTCAGGCTGCAGATGTAGTTCAAGTGATACAGCACATGTTCAGCATGTGGGAGACCCTGGATTCCCTCTCGGCACTGAATTTAAAAAAAGGTGCCACAACTCCACATTTTGGTTGGTTGTGATTTTCTGTAGAGGTCGTCATCTGTTAAAAGAAAAGTTTTTTTTTTGTTGTTAGTTTTTTAATGAGGGGTGAAGACTGTACTTATCTGTTGGTCCAAGGACAAATGTTTCTAGATTGTTGTTAGGGATTGTGCTGGTTTAGTAAATGAGTAGACTCTCATCCAATAACTACGATTTCACTAGCACTGAGCAGTTAGCTAGGTTTGCAGTATCAGGCATGTTTTCCCTCTTGTGGAGCATGACTTAAACCCAATTAGAGAGCCCTTGGTTACCGTCAATGGTAGGGTTATTGTACCATGCGGGTCATTTGATCTGGCTCATAGGTGTCAGCTCCTAGAAACACCAGAAACTATACTTGTAAAGTCACATCAACATGACCATCCAAACATGAGATGAACAAGGAGGACACTAATGAACATGACAGACTGGATGAGGAAAAGTCCACAAGGTCTCAACTTGTTGAAAGCAGGGAGGTTCTTGTGCTCACACATCACCAGAGAAACCAGGAATGTTAGGCACACAGGATTGTCCTTTTGAAGGGGAGGATGTATAACCTGTTTTTCCATCCAGAAAGCTAGAAATTGGAGATGATTAACAGTTCAATGATCTGTGTTATTTTTGGGCCAGGCCATATCATGCTCTCACAACTTGGAATGGAGGTCACTAATGGACCAAATGACCTCTATCCTATCTGTATTACTAAGACCAGGCCAGATCCTTCCTTAGGCCCTTAAGGGTTAGCTTATCTCTAGAACTTATCTTCTTGAAATAATTGATATGCACTTTGAGCTGAGTTTCCTCCAAATTGTGCTGTGTTTAAACATGCTGGCAATAAACTGCCTGGCATCAGACTCCCAAAATTTGACCCAGGTTGACAAAGTCAATCTGAACTGAGCTTGCAGACTCACCTCTTCGTTGTTAGTTTCCCTGCCTGCTGTGACACCTGCAGGGACCCCCCTCCACAAACCCTACACAAAGAACTACAGGGTAATTGAGTAAATCTGGGAACAGGAGAGATGGTCCTCCCCAGGGAAGAGAAGACCATTTGGCCATCTAGTGCCTTTTAAATGGTCAGCTCTGAAAAACAAAGATACAAGTAACATTGTATGTTCTCAGCATGTTATATTTAGGAATATATACAAATACATACATGCATGTAATAACAAATAATGAAAAAAGAGGTCCTGAATTTCAAGGAGAATGGGGAGTGGTATATCGGGGGAGGGTTGAAGGGAGGAAAAGGAAGGGAGAAATTTTGTAATTAGATTACAATCTCAAAAATAAACAAAACAAGACAAAAGGTAGCACTTCAAGATCCAAGGGGTTTCAGGACCTCAGTGTTACAGCATACATGCTTACTACTCCCTACTCATTCCTTCACACCAGGATTCGTGCAGGGCTATGTCATGAGAGAGAAATAAATCTTTGTTAAGATTATGAGAATCTAGGTTTGTGTTCTATAAGTAAAAGATACTTAACCTGTAAGAAAAATCATGGTCCAATCTCAGTTCTGTTCTATACTGTTCAGTACTATGCTGTTTCTCTCCTTTTAATTTTGGTCCCAGAATTCAAGGTGTTCAAACGCAAATGCAAATCAGAACTCAGACACCTGCACTGACAGCTGAGTCAGAAGTGCCGGGCCTGGATCCAAGCATCTCATATTCAGTGTTTATGTAAGACCGGGTATTGGATGATAGAGTTATGCTTTTAAAAGAGGAGGGAATGGAGAATTTTGGGAGCCTGGCATCCATTAGCGAAAAGATGGGTTATTGAAGGCAGATATCGCATAGTTCGCTATCATGGTGGGCAAAGAGTTGACAGAAAATTGTGAACTTTGAGTTTGGAAAAGGACTACAACAATAAAAATATGGCTGGCAATATGAACTGGTCTTGAGCAGTAACTTTTGAGGGCACTGGAGTTAAACTGTAAGATGAAAGATTAAAAGATGCAGTAGACACAAAGAGAGGAATAGGATTTCAATGACTGGTGGAGAGAGAACCCAAGTCGGCGACAATAAACAGTAAGGATGAGAAGAAGATGAGGTGAGGACAACTCCACAGCTTCTAGGCTTGAAGAACTGAGAAAATGAATGTCAGTGTCATGGGCAATGACAGCCTATTTTTTTGGGGGGGAGGAGAAGGATTATTTTTGATAAAAACATGATGAATTTTGCATGGACTGAGTTTGCTGTAATGTTGAGACCTCCAGCAATGCCCAGTAGGCTGTTGGTAAAGTTCTTTCTAATGAGATTGACTTTCATTTCTCTTTCAAGTACAGTCAGAATTCAGCTTTGGATCGTTGATTCATTGTTTTGCTTTTTATTTGCTTAGAAATTAACCCAACCTCTCCAAGCACTTGATTTATATGTCATAATGGTAGAGACATTTAATATCTTCATTCTTCTGCTGTTACTTCCTATTATCTTTCCCTTTTTACTACAACAATGATGTAGTCTACACTGTTCTCTCTTTGCTAATGCATTTATAAAGCCTGGCCCTGCTGCTCTTCCTTGCCCTTGCTGGTTGCAATTTATTTTCTGCTTTGGCCTTTCTGACTTGGCCTCAGAATGTGTCAAATTGTCTTACACACGCCCTTGATCTTTTGCCCTATAACATTTTGCATACGATTACATTTCAGAGTTTGCAATCTTCAATCATGCAGTGAAGAGTGATGCTGCATTAATTTTAAATTCAGAAGATTGAAAATGGGGTCAGCTTTCAGATAGAGATTGGCTGAATTTCTCTAGGAGGCAGACAACCTTAAAAACTTGCATTCTAGCCATATAATTTTCTGGTTTAAAATGCCCTTGATTTTTCTCACCTAAGGTCTCCCGGGGTGGTGAGAAACTGACCAGTAGTGACATACCAACTTGTTAGGCGTGTTAGGGCCCTGTGGCTGATATGCAAAGAGAGAAATAATGATGTGCTGACCACCAAGTTAGCCAAAAACTCTTTGGGCCAGGAAACCCTGGGAGTTTGGTGTACCATTGATTCCCTAGGTTGTATGAGATGAACGTCTGCTATAAGGAACCAGTTAGTACCTCTGCATGTCTCTAAAGATAGCCTGGATATGTGAGAGCATCTCCCTGCTCTCCCAGAGCCTGTCCGAGACTAACCTCACTGGCCTTGGTACTCTGTATTTCTTCTCATCTGTGCTTTTCACAGATGCAGTGCAGTTTGCTGTGGTCCATCTGCCACTGGGGACCATAATGGTCAGGGATGTGGGAGAAATGTTCCTTAGATGATGCCTTTGATGTGCTTATTCCATCATGTCCTCTGTCCACCAAGGCTTGTGGAGTAACCTGCTAGTATTTCAAAGGCTGGCCTCTCTGTTACAGGGTTGTGTGTGTGTGGCACAACTGTGTTTTCTTCTTTCCACATGTCTTCACGTCCAGTTTCATCAGTGAAGACATGGAGATAAAAGGTATTCTTTCACCTCCCCCCCTTTTTTTCAATCACAGCTACAATAGCAAACTGATGATATTATTGACTTGGATTATAACAAAGAAAAGTAATGCTTAGATGCCTGCAATGTGAGCTGCTCTGTGCAAAACCAGATTCACAATAAGGCTATTTAGATGATCTCCATGGACAGGGGACACTTCAGTATCAGCAGGTGACTCATACAATACAGACTCCACTTCCTAAGCCTCCAAAAAGCCATGCAGATGATAAAGTAACACAATGAGCAGATGATGAGTGTGGAAGAGAAAATGAGGAGCAAGGCCCATGTGACCAGTTTGAGGAAAATAAAACCACAGTCTAGGTTGAAGGTTTTACTGATAGGAATGAAAACAGACCAAACACACTAGTAGAACATTACATTTCCAAGTTACATGGACTTAAAATTATATTAGGCTGCTCTCTGCTTAAAATTTACTAAGATTAGGAGAACATGTTGTAATTGTTCATGTTTGGGTAAGAAGGACTAATAATAATTAGTATGTGATTTGAAATCTTAATTTATAAAGAAAAACTCTGAAGCTGCTAGAAATGGTGCTTGCCCATGATGACCATGGTTGGTATGATGAAAAAAAGGCAGATTTTACAGACAAAAGAGTATGAGCTTGGTCAGGTAGTTTATGCCTAGGAATTCAGAATTTTTTTTGATAAGGCGAATGCTCCCACATAATTCTGGGTATATAGCAGACAATGAGTGAATTGCCACTTTTATTACAGGAACTAAAAGAAGGGTTGGGAATGGAATCTATATTGATACTCACAATTCATCCTTTGTTCTGTATCATGTGATTCCCAAGCCAATTTCATGTGAACAAAACTGACATTTATAGAGTTTACAAACCCTTTTATATTTGCTCTTCATGAGAAGAAAGGATTTGCACTCAGGTTAAAATCTAGCTGTATTGGTAGTGGACAAGGGTACTGAAAGATTAAATGACTTGTACAATAATGCGGATAAGGAACAGAGTCATCCTGAATCCAAACCCAAGAGTGATGGTTTGAGTAAGATATGTTCCTGTGGGCTCAGGTATTTGAATAGCTGGTCCCCAGTTGGTGGCACTGTTTGGGGAGGTTTAGGAGGTGTGGCCTTGGTGAAGGAGGTATGTCAGTGGAGGTAGATTTGAGATTTTATAACATTTCCCTATTTCCAGTTTGCTGCCTCTGCCTCATGCTTGCAGCCAAAGATGTGATCTCTCAGCTTTCTGCCCCTGCCTCTATGCTTGATATCATGGACTCTCATCCCTCTGGAATTGTTAGCTTAGATAAGCATTACCTTCTGAATTCAGGTGCTTCACGCCATGGTATTTTATCATAGCTGCAGAAAAGTAGCTAATACACCAAGGCTTCCCCATACCAACTCATTATAACTTCATTCCTTTACAATCTGGGTTTTTGCCAGTTAACATTTGCACTCTTTCTAAGGGGTCTCACAAACGTTCTTTCTTGAGCCACAACTGTGACAATTTTTCTAAAATAGTGATATATCTGGCCTGTTGAATAGATTAAATATAACTATGCAAGTAGGAAACAATGGTGGATAGTAGAGTTCTGTGCCTGAAGTCTCAGCCAGCTTCTGACATGGTGTGTCTCACATACTCTTAGGTAAAGAAATATCCACTGGCCTCACAATCGTCACAGGGATGTTTGGCTAATTCTGCCAGCAAAAGCAATTGCAAAGCAAGACAAATATCCACAGTGCAAACCTTTCTAGATGATTGTCACAAAGTCTGGAGTCTTATTATAGTTCTCTTGTCTTGATCCTCAGCCTCTGGATGTCAGGCAAAACATCTCATGTTAATCACATCCTGCTCTCTCCCCCCCTTTCTCTCCCTCTCTATCTCCATTTCCCTCCCTCCCTCCCTCCCCTCCCTCCCTCTTTCTCTCTCTATGTGTGCATATGTATGGTTAGGGCGCACATCCTTGTGGAGGCCAGAGGTTAACGTAGGGTGTCTTCCTCAGTTGTTCTCTACCTGACTTTTTGAGACAGAGTCTCTCACTGAACCTGGAGCTCACCAACTTGGCTAGATGACTTAGCAAGCACTACTTCCCCCATGCTGGGATCACAAGAGCTTGCCACCAGGCCCAGTTTTTACCTGGGTGCTGGGGATGCAAACTTAGGTCTTCATGTTCACACAGCAAGCATTTTATTGACTTATCCATCTTCCCCATACCCCTGATTCTCACCTTCGAGTTTCTATGAAGCACTCAGGAGGATCTCTTATGCAAACCCCTCTTATCAACACAGATCCCAGCTGGCTTTCTTCTCTATGAAAGCCTTTCATGAATGGAGACAATGATGGATCCTTGTCCTGTGAAGATGAGTGCACTGTTAATAAAGATTTTTAAAATGGATGTTTGTTGTTGTTTGGTTTTGCCACAAGCTTCAGCTTCTTGCCTAACACTATTCTAGATACAGTTCTGATGCCCTTCTTGGATCTACATATGTTCTGTGGTCAAGGTTAAGCTTTCTTAGCAGTTTACTCAAAGCTTCTTTGTTTACTCTCTTCCCTTCTCTGTTGGGGTGTATCTTAGTTACCCTTCCCTTGCTGTAACGAGACACCATGACCAAGGCAATTGATAGAAAAAAAGAGCCTATTGGGGCCTACAGTTTCAGAGGGCGAGTCCATGAACATTTTGTGGGGAGCTCGACAGCAGGCAGGCAGGCATGGGAAGCAGACTTGGCACCGCAACATTAGCTGAGAGCTTATATTCTTACTACCAAGTAGGAGGCAGAGAGGAGAGAGAGAGAGAGAGAGAGAGAGAGAGAGAGAGAGAGAGAGAGAGAGAAATTGTATGGGCTTTTGAAATCTCAAAGCGCTTCCCCAGGGACATATCTTCTCTAACAAGGTTGTATCTCCTAATCCTTCATAAACAGTTCCACCTAGCACTCAGGTAAGAAGTTGGGATCCTCAGCACCCAGGGACCAAACCCTCAAATATGAGCCTGTGGTGGCCATTCTCATTCAAACCACCACAGGGAGAGGAATATTAAAGCACTCTATAGCTCTGCAGCCATGCTACTCTTCCAGACCTCTAACTCTAACCCTTCACACCCTCAGAATGGCTAATGAACAGACACTGGGAAGGATGAATTCTTATCACTTGCTTTGCAAGTTCTGCAGAAGATGTCTTGTCCTTCATATTGCAGAATGCACTTAGTTCCATCATTTGATTTTTCAGTATCTTCCGATTTTTACATCCTGTTACACAAAGGGGGCATTTTAAGGCCCTAGCAGAAGACCTTTAGCTGACATTCTTGATTTTTCAAAGCAGAGCACTTTTACTAAATTATTGGCTGCAGAGAATCTGTCAGGAGCTTCAGTTTGTCCACAATTAACTTTAATGTCAAATGTGACAGCAGATTTTGTGATGTTTTCAACAGTGAAGATTCTCTTTTCTTACTAGTCTTTCTGCTGCCTATAAACAACAACAAAAAAAAAATGGCCAACTTTCACGCAAGTTTGTTCTTTTCCTTTATTGAACAGTTCTGCATTCTCACATTATAACTTCATTTAAAAATAAAAAAATTAATGATAGGGCAGAGCAAGTCATTGTCTCACTGTTATTACAAGGCCACTTAAAATTATGCTCATTGCTATTGATTTATAGCACTTGTTGCAAAAATAATTTTATGGGATTGAAATGAATCCTGAATTGGAGTAGAGCTACTCCATACCAAGTTGTGTCAGCTAAGAGAGTAGGCTTGAATTTCTTGATGGAAATGGCAATGATTGTGAAAATCAAAGCAGATCCCAAGAAAGTATAGAGGACTGAGTTTCTTTGTAAGAACAGATTTAGTGTTGGGAAACTGAATATCTTTCTTTTTTGCCCCCTCCTTTTTAATTTCTCTCCAAATGCAATTTCAGTTGCAAAATTATTTTTCTGTAGAGGATCCTGTTCCATCTTGAAGATGGTAAATAGATGTGACATATTCTACTGTTCCTTTTGACTCACTCCTCAGCAACAACAACAACAACAAAAATAAGGAATGACAGTGTAATGTTTGTCTTCAAAGGGTTGAGATATTGTGAAGTATGAGCAATAACACAGGTAAAACACTATAACTATGGTAACGTTCAAACCTAGAGTGACAAATTAGAAAAAATACATTCATGTAAATACACATTCCAGAAAACAGTGGGATGTTTTTCTTCTCTTAAGGAATGCTTTAAGGGTGGGGCCTTGTGAGATCTACCCCATTTACATTTGCATGTCAACTGATGTCATTATGGAGGTCTCATTAAGGCAACCATGGTTTTGAGATTTTATGAATGTAGTTTATCATAGAAGATACTACCTTACAGCAGGCATCCTATTCTCCGGCTTTCAGAGTCTTTCCATCCCCTCCTCTGTGATGTCACAGAGCCTCAAGTGCCAGGGTTGTATTGGATAAGCCCCCTGATAGGTTATCCAGTCCCAATATGTCACTCTTAAAGACATACACCTAAGAGTAACACTAAATGAACTCAGCAGGCAATAATTTGAGATGGAGTAGGAGAAGGGCACAGTAAAAGTAAAGACATGAATACAATATGCATATAAGAAAGCCTCAAAAATTAAATTAGGGGGTACTGCCTAGAGGAGCAAAACCCAGGCCCTTGCTTGCAAACTGGCTTGCCATGGACCTTTTCTCTGGTTTTTACTCTCATGATTTGGAGGAAGGCTTTATTGGCAATGCAATTTGCACAAACCACTATCTATGTTGAGGTGGCAGTGGAGCTTCAGGATTCTCTGTTAATAAATACATCCCTAAAATCGACTAACATGCCTGGGGAAAGGAAATCCTCAGGAAGCTCAGAGGTACAGTTAGGAGCACCCAGAAAATTCCCTACATTCAGGTTTCTGGCTGGGCTTCATTGGTGCATGGCTCTCATACCTATCATTCAATGAAAATGACCTCATTCATGGATGAAAATTTCAGGTGAAATTTAAAACAAGGACAAACACAACACAACACCACACACACACACACACACACACACACACACACACACACACACAAAGTCATTTCTAGAAATAATAAAAGTAAAAGGATATATAGAAAAAAATACCAGTTATATGATGCAGGTAAAAATGGTAAAGAGCTATTTCTTTCTTTTTTTAAAAAAATGAATGAGTCAACCACTTTAATATGCTAAGATCACACAGTGGACCCCTAAGAGCATATGCAGAGTTATTGAATAAAAAGAGGTAAACTGTGGCTTGGCAGAGTTCAGAAAAGGAGAAATAAATAATAAATAAAACCTACAGAACTGAAGGATAAACTCTTTGTGCAAACAGAAACTTGACATTAATAGGGAGCCTAGAAACAATACAAATTGGGGTAATAGAAGCAGAAAGCAAAATATTTAAAAAGTCAGAGAAAAAAATAATAGGCAGAAAAGGTGAGGTATGTAATGTATAGCCTAAAGAAGAATACATAGATAATGACTCAGAGGGATGTTTAGAATGCTTTATGAGTAAAAGTATAATGGAATGCATAGGCTTGAAGGGCTTTTTCCTAGATAAGTTTGACCAAGAATGATACAAACACATTTTAAGAAAGATTCTAGTAAAGAATATTGTCTAAGCTCGGACTTTTCTATAGGAAACAGAAGGCTGGCAGTTAAAAATTTCATATGTAGACAAAATGTTGTTTCCTTATTTAAAAGCCAACATTTTTGTACCTGTCAGAAAGTAGGGAATTTTGATACAATCTAGTCTTAAAATACTTCTAAAGAAAAGTCAAAATGGAAATATCAGATATGTAGGTTGGATGAGTCTAAAGATCTAATGGATCTAATTAAATATATGTAATGAATATTTTTAAAAAGAAAACATTAGAAAAGACACAACTAGCAAATCAGGAAACCAGAGTTAAAATATAGAAAAATTATTTCTGATAGACTTGACATATTTATCCAAAAGCAAATGAAATGAAGATGGCTGTCGAATACAAAGGAATAAGCTTAGAGAAGCACGTGGAAGAGGGAAGAGGAAGAGGGAAATGATTCATCAGTGCCTCAATCCTTACTTTGTGCATTGGCATGTTCAGAAATGGAATGAACATGAATACTATGATAGGAGACAGTGGGAAGTATATCACTGCTGGTTCCCAAGCACATGCTCATGGCCAGACTGACTGAAAGTGGCCTTTACTGCCGTGAAGTGGCAATGCCCTTCTTATCATTGGTGTGGGGCAGAGGCATTTCCCACAGCTTCACCAGTGATGATACTGTGAGAAAGGGTACAGCATCTGAGACAAGAGCAAACATTAAAGATAAGCTCATGAGACAGATGGGCTAGCAGAGTGAAGGAGCAAAGAAGAAATTGACAATGCATTAATTTTCCCTTTGGTCATTGTACAGAGTTCAGTGATACTTTAAAAAAAGTTATTTTAAGTTGGGCATAGTGGCACCCACCTGTAATCCTAGCACTGGGCAAATGGAGGCATTAGGGTGAAAATTTGAGGCAATTTGAAGTTAACCTATCTATGTTGAGAGTTCCAGGGTGAGCTTAAATCTCCTAGAGAGACCTTGCCTCTGGAAACAAAATACAAAAAACTTAAACAAAACATAAAATACTTAAAACAAAAGAATAAGTTAAAGATATTCCTGTGGTGATATATTGTGTACCCTAACAAAATTTGCCTGAAGATCAGAGAACAGAACAAGCCACTAGATTAGACCTAGATGCCAAGGAGTGGTGGCACACACCTTTAATCCCAGCAATTGGGAGGCAGAGATCTGTTTGGATCTCTGTGAGTTCAAAGCCACCCTGGACTACATGAGATTGACTCAGTCTAAGAGAGAAACAGTCAGGCAGTGGTGGCATACACCTTTAATCCCAGCACTTGAGATTTCACACCTTTAATCCCAGTATTTGGGAAGCACACATGCCTTTAATCCCCACACTAAGAAGAAAGTGATGGCTGGGCAGAAAAAAGGTATAAAAGGCATGAAGAGACAGGAAGTAGAGCTTTTTTAGCCTGATGAGTCCTAGAGGTAAGACGTGGGAGTGGCTTGTCCCTTTGTCTCTCTGATCTTTCAGTGTTTACCTCAATATCTGGCACCAGGTTTTTATTATAAGATCTCTTAGATTTCGTGTTACATATTCCAGTGTAACTTTGAATATGGCAAAGATTTATTATACAATAAAGGCCTTCAGCACAAAGCATAAAGGAATGATTTATAGTCTGGGTTAATTAAAAATAATCTGTTTCTTGGGAAAAAGGATCAGAGTATTATGTAAAGTTACAGATATGCATGTCAGTACCAGAAAAACACTCTAAATTTTCAGAAAATTTTAGACAGAAAACAAAACAGAGAAAAAAATTGTGGTGATAACAAACAGACAAATGAAAACTAACACACATGATACTTCTTTTGGGGGAAACCAGCAGTTTCCACTTCCGTAAAGTGTCAATCTCGTCTTTTCTTGGCTTGTGTTTCTTCATATTCTCCCCCTTCCTCCCATGTCTTACACACAGAAGCAAAACACTCATTTCTCTTTTGGAGGGATGTAAGGTCCTGCAGTGCGCTCAGCTTGAATTATGCCCATGAGTTGATCAAGGCTCAAAACAAATGCATGCTTGTGTCGCTGAACTGAGAGTCAGCATATGTCATAGCAAGAATGTAGCCTACGGAGAATGACATTTCAGAGTTTAAAGTATAGCATTGTCATTTACTTTTCATGTGCCTTCATATCCAGGCTCTGCTTCTTCATTTTAAAGACTGGAACAATGCACATGTTTTAAAGCCTGCATTATCAACAATGAAGGGTAGCAATATGGAGCACTTCCATGTACCTGGCTATATGATTGTACATTCTGTCATATTAACTCATCAAATTTCCACAAGTGCCTCGAGAATCCACCCCACTAATGTCCATGTACTTGTATTATTGCCAGTTTGTAAATAAGGTATTCTAAGCCATACAAGTAGAGAAAGGGAAAACTAGCATCATGAACTCCTAGGTCCTATTTACTTAGCTTTCCTTCCTTCCTTCCTTCCTTCCTTCCTTCCTTCCTTCCTTCCTTCCTTCCTTCCTTCCTTCCT